CAGCCCAGGAATCGCTGTAGCTCCGACCAGAGGGCCGACTCGAACTGGGCGCCTCGGTCCGTCGTGATGATGGACGGAACGCCGAATCGGGCGACCCAGTGCTCGAGGAAGGCGCGGGCGACCGTGGTGGTGCGGATGTCCGGCAGAGGGATGACTTCTGGCCACCGAGTGAACCGGTCGACGCACGTCAGGAGGTACGAGTGCCCTCTTGACGGAGGCATCGGGCCGACGAGGTCCACGTGGACGTGGTCGAAGCGTTGCTGAGGTGGCTGGAAGGTGCCGACGTCAGACTTGGTGTGCCGGCCGATTTTGCAGCGCTGACAGGCGAGGCAGGTTCGGGTCCAGCGGCGCACGTCGCGATCCATACCGGGCCAGACGAACCGCTTAGAGACGAGCTTGACGGTGGCCTCGACGCCAGGGTGCGACAGGTCGTGCAGAGCCTTGGCGAAGGGCCGGCGCAGCGCCTCTGGGAGGACCGGCCGAGGCGATCCGGTGGACTCGTCGCAGAGCAGACGGAGTCCATCGCCGACCGGGATGTGGCGCAGGCGCAGTGAGGTGTCTGAGGCCTCGAGGTCTTCCAGCGAGCCGTCTTCGGACTGGGCCTTGGCGATGGCAGTGAAGTCGGCGAGCGGGGGTCGCGGCTGGGCCACCATCGAGACCGTGCGTGACAGCGTGTCGGCGACCACGTTGTCCTTGCCAGGCACATGGCGGATGTCCGACACGAACTGGCCGATGTAGTCCAGGTGGCGGACCTCTCGTGGCGAGTAGCGGTCGGACGAGGAGCCGATGGCCGTTACCAGTGGTCGGTGGTCTGTGAAAATGATTGCTGACCGTCCTTCGATGGCGTGCTTGAAGTGCCGGACGGCCAGGTAGATGGCGAGTAGCTCGCGCCCGAACGTGCTGTATTTCTTCTCCGCAGGCTGGAGCGTTTTCGAGAAGAAAGCGAGGGGCTGCCACTCGCCGGCGACGTGCTGCTGGAGGACGGCGCCCACTCCGCAGTCCGAGGCGTCGACGAAGAGGGCGAGCGGCGCGTCCGGGACTTGGTGTGCGAGATGTGTCGCCGTGGCCAGGGCGTCCTTGACGTTCTTGAAACGCTGCCGCGCCGAGTCTGTCCACGTGACAGGCGCTCTCGAGCGTTTTGCCTTGTGGGTGATTAAGGCGTGCAGAGGCTGCAGGAGCTCGGCTGCCTGGGGGATGAAGCGGTGGTAGTAGGCTACCATCCCCAGGAACCTCCGTAGCTGGGACTGAGTGGTCGGTTCCGGGAAGTCTTTGATGGCCTCGACTCGTCCAGGCAGCGGGCGGACGCCGTCGGCGTCTACCGAGTGGCCGAGGAACACCACCTGCTCCTGTCCCAGGACGCACTTGTGCCTGTTGACGACGACGCCGTAGGTGTTGAGGCGCTGAAGCACTTGGTCCAGGAGCTGCAGGTGGTGTTCGGCAGTCGGGCTGGCCAGCAGAATGTCGTCCAGGTAGACGAAGCAGCCCGGTATGCCGCGGAGGACCTCATCCATGAAACGCTGGAAGGTCTGTCCGGCGTTTCTGAGGCCGAACGGCATCCGAACGCATTCGTAGAGGCCGAACGGTGTCGTGATGGCTGTCTTGGGGACGTCGGCAGGTTCCACCGGGATCTGGTGGTAAGCCTTCACCAAGTCAATGGTGCTGAAGACGGTGCACCCATGCAGGTCGGCTGAAAAGTCCCGCAGGTACGGCAGCGGGTAGCGGTCTGGTACGGTGCGGGCGTTCAGCGCTCTGTAGTCGCCGCAAGGACGCCACTCGCCGGGTCTCTTCTTTGGCACCATGTGGAATGGAGTTGTCCAGCTGCTGCTCGACGGTCGAATGATGCCTTGCTGGAGCATCTTGTTGAACTCAGCACGTGCGATTTGAAGGCGCTCCGGCGGGAGGCGTCGTGGCCGCTGGTACACCGGTGGACCCTTGGTGACGATGTGGTGCGTCACGTTGTGCTTCACCGGTGTTGGTCCAGGTTTTGGTGAGGTCACATCCGGGTACCGGGCGAGGACAGCTGCGAAGCGAGCAGCAGCCTGCTCCCGGACGAGACGCACTCCGATGGAGCACAGCCTTGACCGCTCGGCGCTGGCGCAGACGGTGCCGTCCCGCAGGAGACGCTGGTTGGCAACGTCCACGACGAGGTGATGTGCGGCCAGGAAGTCGGTGCCCAAGATGGGTGTGGTGACGTCAGTGACGAAGAATCGATGTTTTAGGCGGTGCTGCTGACTCAAGGTGACGTCCAGCAGGCAGGTGCCGTGCACCGCGATCGGTGAGCCGTTTGCCGCGACGAGCTGCTGGCCGACAGGAGCAGGGGTCAGCGTAGACCCGTTGGGCAGGCAGCGGCGAGGCAGCACGCTGACCTGCGCCCCGGTGTCGACTAGAAATTGCCGGTCCGTCTCCGTGTCCCTCACGAAGAGGAGTGGCGCGGCAGGAGGGGCGCCCGTGCTTTGCGCCATCAGCACGGGGCGCCTCAGTTTTCCGAGGCGATCCAGGAGCACGGCAACTTGCATCGGCGCGCTTGGGCGCCGAATCGCTGGTGGTACCAACACAGCGTGTCGTCGTGCGGCGGCGTTGAAGGACGAGCCGGTGACGGGCGGCGTGACTGGCGAGACGCTTGGCGCGGCCGGGAACGGCTGCGGTCGCGCCGCACGGCGTCCTCGAGTCGTCGGTTGCTGGCCTCCAGGCGCTCCATCTTAGCGACCAGGGAGGCGATGACGGTGTCCAGCGCAGGGGTTGCAGCTGGCGCTGGGGCTGTCACTGCAGCAGCGATGGGCGGTGCCGGCTGTGTGTACGGCTGTGCCGCGATCGCTGATAGCCGTGGGTCCGGTCCGCTAGCTTCCAGATACCGGTCGGCCGCTTCTGCCAGTGCGTCAAGCGTGCTGTCGGCTGGCAGGAGGGCGAGGGCAGCACGGACGGGCTGCGGTAGCCGTTGTTGAAATAGGGTACGGAAGAGCTCCGTATCAACCGGGGCGTCCCCGGCTGCGGCTAGCTCGTTGCGCATTGAGCGCAACAGCGCCGTCGGCTTCTGATCGCCGAGCTGCTGGCGGCCGAGCAGGGCTTGTAGTCGGTCGGCGCGTGACTGTGCCAGGCGGGCTTGGAGCGCCGCACACAGCACGTCAAAAGACCGAGATGACCGGATGACGTCCTTGACCTGGACGGCGATGTTGGCGGGCAGGTTTGCGACGAGGAGCTTAAACCTCAGCTCGTCGGAGTCGACCCCGCTGACGTCGAAAGCGCACTGCACCTGCAGTAGCCACAGGTCGGGCTCTTCCGGAGAGTATGGTGGTAGCCGGAAGCTAGCCATGGGCCGATGAGTTGACTCGGAGGCTGAAGCTGGAACGCTGGCTGGGTCTTGAGCTGCGGCGCCGGACTGTGCGCTGTCCGCGGGCATGACGAGAGGCTAAGGTCGAACAACGGAGATCACGTCGGGGTCACCAATTGTCGTACTGCGCTGTGGGTAGCGCGTGGCTGGACGGACGGTCCGTGACAACCTATTGATCTGTGGCTGATCTATTAGAGTGTCCGTCCGAGAGCCGTACGACGGCTGACAGAGCCTGGGGGTCGCGAACTGGTGTGGTAACCGTTACGCCCACCTGGGACGCCCGAGTCGGTACGGCACTTGCGGTGTCGTAACCGGATCGGCGGGAACCAGCAGAACGCTGTTGGACCGGCGGTGAAAGTCGGAACCGAGCACTCGCCCACCAGTGGGGCGTCTGGTCGAGCAGGTCTACCCGCTAAGGCAGCCTGAGCACGAACCAGTGGCAGGGTCCGATCAATGACCGTGGTCCGACCAGGGTGTCAGCGCAATGGCCAGTCAGAGGCGTCTTTAAGGGCGCAGAAGCCCACCTCGGTCGACTGTGGCCGGTGCAACCTAGTCAGGTCGTTTGTGTGAATCTCCGTGTTCTTCCCTCGCCTCAGAGTAGCCGCTCTTCTCCAAATGCCCGAGCCGTTTTCTATGTGTATTGGTCTTGCAGCGAACAGCAGAGTCGAAAAACGAATTGACAATGTCGCCGAAAACCGCGGTCACATGCTGGCCGTTCCTAGTACTACCAATATGCCCGCAGGCGCGGCGAGAGACAAGCTTAACGTATGAGTCACCGTCCGGCTGCCGGGAGAGCCCCTACCGCGACCTTTGCTCACAGTCATGACGTCACGACAATGGGCTCCTAAACGTACGGGCAGCGGCCGCCTCAGGGGTGCCGCCGTGACCTTTGCACGACACGTTCTATAGCGTATGGCACAGCGGTTACTAGGAAGGTTGAGGCCAGCGGCAGGCCGGTTTACAAATAACAAACAAACTTGACGTGCAATTGGCAACAGGTAACAGATTGATTAATAAAGCGGTGACAATATAAATGAAAATGACAACATGAAATGACAAATCGCATAGATGACAAATCGCATAGATGATAAATCGTATAGATGATCCCTACACTACGTCCCTGTGGCTTGTCTGCCGATAATGCCAACGCATTACCTAACATATAACCGAAATTAGCATTTTCCTCTGACCTCTCACGCCTATATCTTCATCCATAGGCGCGGGAATCACGGGGGAATCGGGGCAGCCTACTCCTACAGCTCCTACAGCTCTAAGTTGTGTGGGCGCTGCCCCCACAACTTTTCATAGGGCCAAAAACCGACAACCGTTGGGGCAGCTTGTCCTCCCCAAATTAGGGATTGTGGATCACAATGGAAAACTGAATGGAAAAAAATTACACTAAAAAGAATTTTCCCTGACTTTCCCTGACTTGACAGCTAAGGCAGAATGTCTCACTTACCTATTTTGCATATGTCGTTTTTTTTTTAGAAGGTCAGGGGGTGAAAAATAAGTGGCCTAAAACCGCTGAGAAAGCTAGATTTGCGGGTACGGTACCTTAGGTTCCGGGAAGTATCATGTGTGCCTCCCCCGCCTGAAAGTAGTTCCTGCGCCACTGTCTTCTCGATGTTCCCTGTGATCAGTGTCCCTGAAATTCCGCCATTTTGTCCCACAGTGACATCACAATGACGTCATCTGCCGCCGATCTGGAGCAGCAATACTCGCCATCGGCCTGGGTGCAACGGGTGGCGCCCTCCGAGGTTGTGCGGCTGTTCGCCGAAGCTGTAACTGCGGCTGCACAGAGGGCGCGCGCGTCGCTGCCGTGTGAGCTCGACATTCGGTACGGAGACGGGCCGGAACAGCGGTACAGTGTGCTGGGTACGAATGTACCCGAGGATGCTCCGCTGGCGGTGTTCATACACGGAGGGTACTGGCAGGTGAGGTATACTGTTGTACAATAATTAACGGGATCGCGTTTGATGGATAAAAGAAGCGCAGGGGGAGGCACCTCTATAGTTGTGTTGGCCCATCTATAGTTGTGTTGTGGGCTCAGGCGGGCTTCTGAGATGCTTGTCATTACGGTTATGATAGCTCACTGTGTTATTGTATGTACCTATTAATCCTTCGTAGAGTATCCGCTGGCCGCAATTAACTTGATAAGCTCGATAAGAGGCAGCCAGGCGCTCAGTAGTCATTGGCAGGCAGTAGTCTTTTTCGAGTCTCAGACTGTTAGACTCGAAAAAAGAGCCCCGTAGTGTCGAACTTTATGGATTGTCCTGCGTTAGTTCCTAGCTCAATGTATCATGGTTAGTGACGAACTATAACTGTACATTATGATACTACTCACCTGGTAGTTTTTATATTTGGTATACTGAGCTGTCTTAGATAGACCTTATGCGTGGTCAGTGGCGGTCGCAGGGGGGGGCCATCAGGGCCATGGCCCCCCAAAGGCAAATCAGGGGGGGCCATCATATCATTTGGCCCCCCCCCAAACAACCGATGGGCCCCCATGGCCGTATGGGGCCCCGGCCCGTATTCGATTGTTACGAGGCTCGAGAAACCCACGCCAGCTATTAACAGCTCCCATACCAGTCTTTGAGGGTCCTACACTGATCTCTGAGGGCCCTTCAGTGGCGGTCATGCGTCCACATTGACCGCTGAGGACCCACATTGACCTCTGAGGGCCCTCCACTGGCCTTTGAGGGCCCCTAAACCGGCCTTAGGGGCCCAACCGGCGTCTGAGAGCCTCACACCGGCCTCTGGTGGCCTCATTTCTGTCTCTCGAGTCCCAAGACCAGCCTTAAGCGCTGGATTCTGAAGACCCGATGTCGGCCTCTGAGAGCCCGTATCGGCCTCTGGGGGCCCATCTTGGCCTTTGAGGGCCCTCCGCTGGTTTCTGGGTTCCAACGCCGGCCCATGCCGGCCTTTTAGTGCCCCAAACTGACCTCTAAGGACCCTATGCTGGCCTGTAAGGACACACATTAGCCTCTGAGGGCCCCCCGCACTGGATTCTGAAGACCCAATGCCGGTCGCTCAGGGCCCGCATCGGCGTCTGAGGGCCCATTTTGGCCTTTGAGGGCCCTCCGCCGGCCTCTGGGGTCCAACGCCGGCCCATGCCGGTCTTTTAGGGCCCCACACTGACCTCTGAGGGCCCCATGCTGGCCTGTAAGGACACACATTAGCTTCTATGGCCCCGCACTGAATTCTGAAGACCCGATGCCGGCCTCAAGGGGCCCGCATCGGCCTCTGAGGGCCCATCTTGACCTTTGAGGGCCCTCTACTGGCCTCTGGGGTCCAACGCCGGCCAATGCCAGTCTTTTAGGGTCCCATTCTGACCTTTGAGGGCCCCATGCTGGCCTGTAAGGGCCCACATTAGCCTCTGAGGGCCCTCCCCCGCACTGAATTCTGAAGACCCGATGCCGGCCTCTAAGGGTCAGCATCGGCTTCTGAGGGCCCATCTTGGCCTTTGAGGGCCTTCTGTTGGCCTCTGAGGTCCAACGCCGGCCCATGCCGGTCTTTTAGGGCCCCACACTGACCTCTGAGGGCCCGTGCTGGCCTGTAAGGACCCACCTTAGCCTTTGAGGGCCCCGCACGAGCTTCTGAAGACCCGATGCCGGCTTCTAAGGGCCCGCATCGGCCTCTGAGAGCCCATCTTGGCCTTTGAGGGCCCTCTACTGGTCTATGGGGTCCAACGCCGGCTCATGTCGGTCTTATAGGGCCCCCACGCTAACCTCTGAGGGCTCCATGCTGGCCTGTAAGGACCCACATTAGCCTCTGAGTGCCCAATTAGGTCTCTGATGGTCTCAAACTGCTCTTTGCAGGCCCTGTACTGGTCTCTGAGGGCCCTAAACTGGCCCCTAAGGGCCCAAACCAGCCTTTAAAGGTCCCACATCGGCCTCTGATGGTCCCATTTCTGTCTCTGGGACCCAAACTGACCCTTATGTGCCTCTGAGGGCCCCGTACTGGCTTCTGAAGGATCGATGCCAGCTTCTGAGGACCCATTACGGTCTTTAAGTGCCTCATACCGACACCTGAGGCCCCACACTAGCCTCTGAGGGGCCCCAAACTGGCCTATGAGGTCTCTACACCGGCCACTGATGGCCCTAATTTGTTCTCTGGGGGGCTCATGCCTTACCTTCGGGGGTCATGCACTTGCCTCTGAAGGCCCACATCAGCCTCTAGGGCACTACCTGGGCCTTTGAGGCCCTTCGCTGACCCTTGGGTCCAACGCCGGCCTCTGGGGGGTCTGACACCGTACTCTAAGGGCCCCATTGCAGCCTCTAGGCGATAGGTATCGCCGGAGCGCTATCGATGGGCTCATAAGTGTAGGAACCATGGGTGCAGTGGGCGCAGTTGCACCAACAATAATTCTGCAGTGGGTGCAGACAATGTATTCTGCATCCACAACAATCTGGAACAAACCCCCCTTTTCTCAGCAACACTGCTTTCCATGCAGCACGAAAATTTAGGATATTTGCCCACTATCCATCTTTCGAAGCATTTGCTACTGTAATGATCTTCAAAACTTACATTTGTGCCCAAGTAAAAAAAAAAGATGAAACGGAACACATGTGATTGAACGGTGAACAGATACCGATGACCCACTGTCAAAGGTTTTAGCACGATGATCTTAGAAAATGGCAAAGTTAGCCGCCTAAGCCGCCTTTACTTTTGCGGTAATCCATTCACAGTTGTGTGAATTATTGACAATATCAATACTTCAAAATGCACTCATCGGTATTTTTTCGACATGGTACACCCTCAAAGCTCACAATGAGCCTCCGCTCGGGTGCCGCTCCCTACCCCCCCCCCCCCCCCCCGCTTCACCGGCTATGGCCTGGATTTCTGCACCCGTGCACTACGCCCATGGGCCCCTTTAAGCTAGCACCGGGCCCCCTGGGTCAGCGCAGGGGCCCCTTTGCCAAGTTGGCCCCCCCCCAAACTCCAAGTCTGCGACCGCCCCTGTGCGTGGTGGCTCGTTGGCTTAGCAAAAACAATGTGCACCAACATCAGTTTTTATTTCAATTATCACCGCGTTGCTTGGAGAAGATAACGAAACGAGAACAAGCCTAAAAAGTCGCCATTCGATCAACTAACGAGCACCATGCCTTTCATTAACGCGCTAGGCGGGCCGAACCCCCGACTGCTCCGGTCTCTGGTCTGTCTGAGCGTCTGAACTTGTCCACGCAATCAAGTACCACCTTTGACTAGCTTCTTTACAGAGCTGACAATACCCTTGTAACAGGAACTTGCACGATTGAATCACCATCAGACATCATCGCTTTTGTCTTTCAGTTAGGCTTTTCACAGCTAGTGAGGTCCTTATAACAGGAGCTGTCAGCTGAGCAGTTTGAATCAGCACAACTCACCTAACCGTAATGAACAGAAGTTCAACGAGACGGTGTTATTTTCCTTCTTCGGGAGTCCCCAGACTGCGCGCCCTCGAGTGTTGGTTGTCAAGCTCAACAAGTGGCATAAGTACTCACTACTCAGCGCTGCTTGATGAGCGATTTGACTTATCGGGGCCTCCTTTATATTGTGGTTCAACGTATTGTTTGATGCAAACAATTTCTAAGTCCCCGAGATAAGATGAAGTGTTTGGGGCTTTTTCATACTGCTGGTAGATACCCGAGGAATATGTCATTGCCATATGACATACAGGGTGACACAAAAAAAGCGGTCATCACCAAAATTCGAATAACTTCGGAAGTTTTATTCAGATCATCACCAAATTTCGGCCACTTTAGGTCACACCTATGTAGCAGACATCCACCAAGTTTCAAGTCTTCACTACGAATGCTTTTAGTACAGTGTGTGTTTTACGGACGCTCCACAATGTGCTCCAGGTGAGCGCCCCGGCACTGCAGGGCGTAGGCACACCTGCATCCGGCGGGCAAAGTTGCCGATAACCCGATAAGAATAACGTTTCAGGGGTAGCACACCCCCTGAGCACTGTCTCCAGAGGCCATTGCACTCTGTAAAGTGCACAGCCATCGGGTTATCGACAACTTTGCCCGCCGGATGCAGGTGTGCCTACGCCCTGCAGCGCCGTGGCGCTCACCTGGAGCACATTGTGGAGCGTCAGTAAAACACACACTGTACTATAAGTATTCGTAGTGAAGACTTGAAACTTGGTGGATGTCTGCTACATAGGTGTGACCTAAAGTGGCCGAAATTTGGTGATGATCTGAATAAAACTTCCGAAGTTATTCGAATTTTGGTGATGACCGCTTTTTTTGTGTCACCCTGTACTAATATGACGAATACGGCGGTTGATGCATAATCGCCTACTCTTGACTAACATAGATAGATTTTGATATCACGTCATAAATAACCAGAATCGTCTTATATTTCTTGGAATCTGGTAGGCTGTTTCTGCGTGCAAACTAAGTAGTTATCTCTTCATAGCGCTGGATAGCTGAAGATCAGCACTCTGATATGGGTGAGGCCAAATGCCCCAAATATCCCCCTGCATTCGTCAGTGCCCAATTGGACTTACTGTAATCCGGCGGATCCGATTTAATTTAATCCGAGGCTGGCAGTTGTAAAGATAGGGAATATTACCCAGTGGTACAATGTGTTGGAGGTCGTGTTCACACGTCGGCATGGCCGATAACTGCCAACGAATCGAATCGAACTCTAATGTTGATATATTTCCATGAATCCATCATTCTTTGGCCCTGAACTTCCCTTGTCGGGCCCGGAAGGGTCGAACAAAAAGTATGCTGGTTATCTAGCAGCTTTTCCATGTTGGACTCTCGGCCGGCTTAGAATTGATGATCGTATCAACTTCCACATTTCAGTGAAGCTGAACTACTGTGAACTGCCGCGAGCATGTTGTAGTGTATCGAGTACCTAGTGCATCGGGTGTCCGAGGCTCGGCATCGGGCCCCCGGTAATACGAGTGTGAGGCGGCCGCACCCTGCTCGGCTCCAGTCAGAGCCAGCAGTCGAGAGGCTCCGCCCGGCCGCACAGCACGGCAGTGCCGTAGTGTTCTGCACCGCGAGTTTGTGAGAATACATCGGAATCCGGAGACGGCGGTGAACACTACATCTGGCGACAAGGATGAGATCCTGAATACTACCGACGATGAACGTCGAGGGGGTGTCGCCGCCAACTCCGTTCCTGGCGAGACCAGGAAAACCAGCACTGCCCTGGAGTGACTGGATTTTCAGTTTCCACAACTACCTGACTGCCCTGGGAGGTGAGGCCTACAGCACGGAGAGGAAGACGGCTCTCCTTCTGCACTGTGTCGGCGCCGAGGCGCAACGGGTGTACCGTACCCTACCGGTCCAGCCGAGGAGAGAAGACGAAGACGAGTTCCATGCGGCTGAGCGGCAGCTCGCCGAGTTTTATGAACCTCAGGTCAACGTGATCGCGGAGCGGTTCTTCTTCCGGCAGCGACGGCAAGAGTCGCACGAGCCGACGGCCGACTACGTGGCGGCGCTGCGCCGCCTGGCAGTAAACTGCTCGTTTGGACAAATGACAGACGCAATGATACGTGACCAAGTCGTGGAAGCAACAGTGCATCCGATTCTCCGCGAGCGTTTTCTGCAGGATAAGGGTCTGACCCTGGACCGCGTTCTGGAGATCGCCGAGGCATTCGAGCGATCCCGACGCGAGGCGACCGCCATGGCCGGGCCGGCGCGGCCCGCCGCCGACGGAGCGCAGTCACTGCATCAGATATCTGACGCTCGTCAGCGCCGCGGGCACCGGCCCTGGCGACCCGCCCGGCGGCAAGACGACCGCCGCCCCGCCCCTGCCCAGTTGCAAGCCGACCGTCGCCCCGGACCTGCCCAGCTGCAACCGGACACGTGCCCCAGCTGCGGTCGGCGCCAGCACAATGAGCGCGGTCGGTGTCCCGCTACCGGGGCCACGTGCAGGCAGTGTGGGCGGACGGGTCACTTTGCCGTGGTCTGCTGGTCTGGTGAACAGAACGACGACAGAAGGTGTCACGAGCTGACTGTTCTCTGCTGCGCCGTACCAAATACCGATAAGATGATGTGCGAAGTACAGATGGAGGTACCAGGTATCACGCAGACCGTGAATCTGCAAGTTGACACGGGTGCCACGGTGTCCGCTTTAGGACTCGGCATCGCCAGACGTCTCTTCAAAGGCAGTCGTCTCAATAGAACGTCTGCTCGTCTGTTCGGTTTTGGTCGACACCAGCTTCAAGTGCTTGGCACGCTGCCAGCGCTGGTGACCTACCGTGGACGGCGAGCCAACACAGAGTTCTTCATCATAGATTCCGACGGTGAAGAAGCCGTCATGGGACTGGACCTGCTGAAGCAGTTGGACGTAAACCTGCACCCCGCGAGTGGGGCAATCGATCCGCTGGCGGTCACTGGGAGCGCAGAAGTCCCGGAACCGCCACCGTCTCAGCCCGACCCTGGCGAGATATGCTCACTGACAATGGTCCGTGGCCACCCCGAAGAAGCGGACCTGCATGAAGACAGCTCCGCTGAAGAAGAGGTGATCGCTCTTCTGACAGATGAAGAGAGCGTGCTGACCGAGCAAGACGTCCGCACCGCGTCAGCTGCTGATCCTGAGCTGCAGCAGCTGCGTCATCAGATCAAGCGCGGCTGGCCGAGCAGCGCCAAGGCCTGCCCGGCTGAAGTCCAGCCGTACTTCAAGATGAGACACGAGTTGTGGGTGCGCAACGACGACGTCATCCTGAGAGGAGCCCAACAAGTTGTTGTGCCCGTTCAGCTCCGCCGCAGATACCTGGAGCTGGCGCACAGCGCGCACGACGGAATCGTCCGCATGAAACAGGCGCTGCGGAATCTGGCGTGGTGGCCCGGCATCAACCGTGAGGTGGAGGAGCTGTGCCGAAGTTGCGAGCGCTGCCAGCACAGCGACGCAGTCCTCTCCCAGCGCGCACGCCCTGCGCCCATGCAGCCAGTCGACCTGCCGGACCGCGCCTGGTCGAAACTGGGCATGGATATCGTTGGTCCAATCAACGGAGCACCAGCGACTGCCCGTTACGCCATCACTCTGATTGACTACAGAAGCAAATGGGCGGAAGTCTGCCTGACGTCATCGACTGAGACTGAAGACGTCATCAAGTTCTTGTCAACTGTGTGGGCCAAAGAGGGCTATCCTGACGAGATCGTGACGGACAATGGGCCCCAGTTCACGAGCAGGGAGTTCACTGCGTATCTGGCCGCCCGAGGGGTGAAGCACACCAAATCGTCCGTCTACTGGCCTAGAGGCAACTCCGCCGTAGAGCGCTTCAACAAAACGTTCAAGTCGTGGATCACAGACTGTCCACCAGCAGCGTTCATTGACGAGGTACGCAAGAGCCTGGCGGTGTATCGAGCCACCCCACACACCACAACTGGGAAGTCACCGTCAGAGCTCCTGCATGGACGACAGATGAGGCTGAACCTGCCTGTCATTCAGCCGTCAACACCAGGAGCCGACAGTGTGGCGTCTCGAGTTCGACGCCGACAGCAGTCCAACAAGAGGTCCTACGACCGCCGCCGTGGCGTGACGACGCCGCGCATCACTGAGGGCGACTACGTCTGCGTGAGACGGCAGGGACACCGCTCGAAGACGTCCTGTCGGTTCACGTCTCCGGTGCGAGTCACTGGGCGCGTCGGTCCCGCAACGTACCGTCTGGCTGACGGCCGGACCTGGAACGCCGCCCATCTGGCCCGTCTCCCATACGCGCCGGCGTCTCCCTCAGCATCTCCCCCCGCTGGGCCCGGCGACACCACGTCGACCGCCACGACTTCCGAGGCCGACGCCGCTGGCCCGCTGACATCGCTCGCCGCTGCTTCTCGCCCGTCGACCGAGACAGCTTGCGAGCCGTCGCCGGACGCCGCCGATGTGAGCGTGCAGCGTCCCAGGCGAAGCGACCGTGCCTGTAGACGACCGGACTACTACGTGTCGCAGTGATGCTGTTCCTTTTTTTTGCGAGAGGGGGGAATGTGTAGTGTATCGAGTACCTAGTGCATCGGGTGTCCGAGGCTCGGCATCGGGCCCCCGGTAATACGAGTGTGAGGCGGCCGCACCCTGCTCGGCTCCAGTCAGAGCCAGCAGTCGAGAGGCTCCGCCCGGCCGCACAGCACGGCAGTGCCGTAGTGTTCTGCACCGCGAGTTTGTGAGAATACATCGGAATCCGGAGACGGCGGTGAACACTACACATGTATTAGCCGTGAATGATGCGAGTCAAAGGTTTTTTTTTATAAACTCAGACTGAAGCGTTGCAGTTTTACGTCGAAATGGTGATGGCTCTTGTGGGTGGCCAAGTAAGGGAATTAGCTGGGCAGATGAAGCGCGCAGAAAATGTCACGTTACTCTTCTCGTGATAATATCTATCAAGCCATGCAGGTGCGCTATACCCTGAATGGTCGCACACTTTGTAGCGTGTCGAATGATACTAATGCACTTAGGTACCGCCTGCTCAGCGCAAATGGCAAATCTATCGATAAAGTAAAATACTAGCAATATGACAGACGGTATTAAATGTATGTTGTGACTGGCATGGCTTCTATGTATTGCGTTATTGGAAACTGACTGACCTCAGTTATCACTACAGTGTGCCATTTGAGAACTGCTGTTCTTGCTTCCCCGGTGAAAAAAAAAATGCAGCGGGCCGCACTATACATGCATTACACTATATACTCGTATATAATATCACCTTTTTTAATGAAGGCCTGCAGGAAGCCGTGTCGCATTCATTAAGGGTGAAATGGTGACGTGCTAGCCGAAGTATGCTGTGCACTAATGGCAAAGTTTGATGGATATTATTCAAATAACATTTCCATGTCGCATTTTCAATTATCATGTCGGCAGCGTTTACAGCTTACGTTCATACGCCGCGTTATATTATCACGTGGAAACCTAAACGAAAACACCAGCCTGTCGGCTGTCGACACATATCCTGAGCTTTTCTGCGCCGACCAATAACTAGAAAATGTGTCCAACAGTATCGGTTGTTCTGTTGGCAGGAAATGGATCTGGCCTCGTCTGACGGCGTGGCACTCGGCTTTCACCGACTGGGATGGCGCACGGTCACCGTGGGTTACGACCTGGCGCCGGCCGTCACCTTAGATGAGATTGTGGCACAGGTGAGTCGACCCCGTACACTCAGAGGTTATTGGGATTCTCCTCGGTAAAGAAAGGACACTGGCTGGTCAGTGTCACTGGAGCAACGTAAGCCGGCAGTTCTTATAGGTAGCTGTATTATAAGGCTTTACTGTTTTGCTCAATTTCGCCGTAGGTTGGAAATGGAATCGATTAATTTATTTTGAGATCAATTGATTCGGAAGTGTTGTGTTCTGGAGCGTCAATTGTGGCCACATAATCTATTATCCAATTGTTATACCAGTCGCTATAGCCTATAATATGCAATACGAGTGGAGTTGCAAGTTTCAACACATTTCCTGAATAAGCATCGCACAATCAGCACAGGCTGGCGAGAACTCTGTGGCCTTCATGGATCTCTTCTCAGTAAATTGGGTGTGTTCACAAATATGTCAAAACTAAGTGTCATCGCCCCCGCATCAACGCCAATCATTTCTCCTGGCTGTTCTCGAGTCTTGTAAAAGAACCTGATTGGATGAGTATAAATATTACATGATTTAATTGTTCTATGTTTTGGTAATAGCTTGTCTGGCTCCTTCGGCATAGTAGGTTAGATGCTCCCCGTTACCAATCCACTTTGCAAGTCACACGAGATTCCAACTCCTCGTCATTATCTTCAACCGAAGCATTACCGCCTATGGAGGAGGCATCGCTGTGGATTCCGCATTCCAAAGAACTCTCGTTCAGTATATCCGACAAAAATCCTGCACCTCTTGCAAAATTGGCCCGGCTGCTGTCTTCCCTCGTGTCTTCAGTTCCTGCATTTCTCTGGATCACCATCATATCGTACACCACTGAGTTCACCGGGATCCTACATCAGGACGCCCATCTGACCGATCGGGTGCATCGCCAGGTGCGTACCGTCGGCCGCCGCATCCTGCAGATGGCGCTGGATCTGCGCAGTCGCGCCGTGCTCCTGTTCGGCCACTCAGCTGGCGCGCAGCTAGTCGCCATGCTGCTCGCCGATTGGTCGACCCTGAGCGACAGCGAACGCCCGCCAATCGTAGCTGCCGTACACATCTCGGGCGTGTTCGACTTGGAGCCGCTTCTGCACACGAGCGTCAACGAGAAGGTTGGAATGGACGGCGCATGCGCACAACGCAACAGTCCGATGCGACATGTTGGTGCCGTGACCCGGATTTCCCGGGCGCGGCATCTGGTACTGGTCGGGGAGCACGACTCGCCAGAGTTTCGCAGACAGGCAAGAGAGTATGCGTCCGCGCTTAAAGATGCCAAGTGTGATGCGACTTGTCATATTCTACCTACAAGGGATCATTTTGACATGTGCGAAGCGTTGGCAGATGCTGACTCTGATGTCATGAAGCTGGTAAAGGAAAATCTGAAGGATCTGATAAACTAAAGACCACGGCCGGCTATACCTGGTGGGTCATGTTCTTGCCATAAGCGGGTGCTCTATTCATTTCTTACAATTTACATGCTCACCTTTTTACACTCATTGCCATTATAATCGAAGCATTTTTACCATCGGTTGGTGTTGGTATGTATGAATACGTCCATGTAACCTGGTGGAATCCTCCAGAGCACTCGTCAGCCAGCCCTCCCTTGATTGTATCTCCGTAGAATAGTCGTGGTAGTGTCGTAGCTTAAAAGACTTTGAACCACACATATCCAGGGGGCTTATTTTTTATAGATACACTATTCGCATTGCGAAGATATACGGCTCTCGCGAGATTAAGCGATAGGTTTTGCACTTTTACATTTCCGGTTATATCTCAGAAACTAATCGATCTACGATGAAGCCATTTTACACAATCATGGCCGGCTTGTGAACCAATAAGTCGATCGCATCTTCAACACTTGAAAGCTAAAGACGACGAAGATATAACCTGAAGTACACTAAATTTTCTAGGTGCAAAACCTACCGCTAAAACCCGCGAGACCTGTACTTAGCATATCTCCTGTAGCGCTCAAATGCATGTCGCATTCTAGTGGTTATGTAACTGAGAAGTCAGAAGACGTTCGACAATACACAATGCCGGCTTTGTTTGTCATATTAAGTCAGCTCAAAATTTTGACACTCATTTAGTGCAGCAAGGAGGGAGGGGGCAAGTACAAAGACCTCCTGCTGTTAGCAAAGAAACTGCAAGCTACATTTCGGTATCATGTATTTTCGGTATCATGACAGTCTATCCAGATACCCATAGTCCATACGCAATGCGCAGGATGCAGTTTATGGCCAGCAACCACCTGAAAGTTAAAGGTAGTGTGCCAGCTTTCTTGGACCGTATGGAGTTAATGGCCCAGATAAGGAGAACCGGATTTTTAGAACTTATCCATACCTTCAAAACTCATGGAAACGACTTAAATTCTTCAAATTTTGAGTACCCCAGTGCGAAATTCGCCCCGACGGGTTGTCGGTCGTACCCCAACCACATTTCACACCACTATGAACAATAAATGCACACACTGAAATCGCTATTACCGATATGCTCATCCAATCAAGTTTCGATAAACCCGTTCATCATCATCTCCTGCGGTTTCGAACACGCCTGTTAGGTGGCTTCTGATGCTCGTCGAGGTCGGAATTTCCAAATACGCGTGGTGCGTCGGGCCGCGCGCTCTGACTTCGGCCAAGAAAAATGCGTCAGCTGATCATTGTCATTTCTGCCACTTGCGTGTGGTGAAATGGGGTCATAACTTATAAGACGACTTTTTCATATCAATTATTTTACATAAAATCATATTTCAAACCATAAATAATGTTCGACAGCCAAATAAAAGAAACAATACCAATACGGGCTTACAGTTTAACCCTATTAGTGGCAGGCTCCTGGCTACCCCATATTAGTGGCAGGGGGGGGGGGCTGTTTACGACCCCCCCTTGATATCTCGAGATCTAACCGGCCGATTTTCAAAATTTAAACGGCATTCGATTTGGCTCAACGAGATCTACATTTCTAAAAAAAAATAAAATTAAGAAATGTCAATAGGGGGGTAGAGGGGGGTAAAAACGGGCAAATTGCAGATACATTTTAGACTGTTTATCACGGCCAGGTTTCTGAACCAATCTTAACGCAACTTTTGCCGATCGATAGAGAATGAACCAGGAATTCACATGGATCCTGAAAATATGCATTTTCAAAAATCATAGGCGGATACAGATCATTGAGATTGGGGGTACACAAAAAGTATAGTAATTAAGGTTTTTGTTGGTACTGTTTCTAAAAAGGGTGGCAATGGTCTTGTTATGTTACAATTTTCTTATGAGAGAACGACTAAAATTGTATTGGTCATGCATAGGCGGTGTCAGGGCACCTATGTTGGGAGGTAAAAAATAACCCCCCTTTTTGGACGCCTGGATCCGCCTATTATAGCAAAAACGTGTCAAAAGAGGATGCACAATAACTTTGTATATGTTATCACATGATACCTTTCATTCACTGTTCGTAAAACTGGTGCAGCATCGTGATCTTCGCCAAATGACTCGCTTCACGAATAGGACCCCCCAATTTCCAGTGCTCTGGAGCCGCCCCTGGTAAAGTTATGAACTTGAAATTTTCAGGGAATGTGCCCAATTTAGTTTTAGGAAAAGTCAGAAAATTTCAGCATCGTAGCTTCAGCGGTTACGGAGATATTCCCGAAAAACCTGAGGGGTGGATAAACCCCCCCCCCTGCCACTAATAGGGTTAAGGCTCGACATTGTGTTGTCTACGATTAGACAGCTGATAACTCATTCCCGTACGTCGTATGGTCGTAACACTATAATGACCTTTGCTTATTGTCACAAGTGCGCCGCATTCGCGATTGTTGCCCGACGCCTGTTTGCAGGTGAGCCCACTCACTGGCGGATCCAGGGGGGGGGGGCCACCGGGGCCATGGCCCCCCCCAAAAGCCTGAAAGGGGGGGCCAACATATCTTTTGGCCCCCCCCCCAAAACGCTTGAAGAAAAATTAATGTGAGATGGTTGCGTAGTAGATACCTACTAGAATCAGCAGCGTGATTCAATAGCGTAGAGAAAGTCAGGGGTGCGGGAACTACTTTCAGACTGGGGGGGGGGGGGGGCACACCATAATAGAGATCAACCTAGGGTCCCCCCAAATCTAGTTTCTCACCGGTTTTAGGCCACTTATTTTTCATCTCTTGGCTTTTTCAACAAAAAAAGAAAACATTTGCAAAAAGGGCGGTATTCCGTCTGAAAGTTGTGGTGGCACCGCGCCCCACTGGTGGATTCAGGGAGGGGGCCACCGGGGCCATGGCCCCCCAAAAGCCTGAAAGGGGGGCCAACATATCTTTTGGCCCCCCTCCCAAAACGCTTGAAGAAAAATTAATGTGAGAAGGTTGCGTAGTAGATACCTAAAAGTTAGAATCACCGGCGTGATTCAATAGCGTAGAGAAACTCAGGGGTGCGGGAACTACTTTCAGACTGGGGCGGGGGGGGGGCACACCATAATAGAGATCAACCTAGGGTCTCCCCAAATATAGTTTTCTCACCGGTGGTTTTAGGCCACTTATTTTTCATCCCTTGGCTTTTTTCAACAAAAAAAGAAAACATTTGCAAAAAATGGGGTATTCCGTCTGAAAGTTGTGGGGGCACCGCCCCCACGGCCCCATAGTTGGGGGGTGGGCAAGCTGTCCCCACTGCCCCGGTTCCCGTGCCTATGGAGAAACCACCGGGTTTACTAGCTTCCTTCATAAAGTGTCGTCATGTCTTGTCGTCACCCGAGAAGGTCTTATTGCATACATATCGATTGAACTGTCAAGTTAACAAACTTGCTCTGGCAGCCTGACCTGACATGACCCGGCAATTTTTCATTCACGGAATATGCGCAATAATTTTTTTTTTAGGAACACTCACTGAGTTGGCGTTGAAAAGCTTGTTTTGTTTGGTAATTGTACAAGAAGCATATCAGGGACCTTTTTGTCCCTTCCCGTGAAACGGTAAAAGACTTATTTCGGTCAGAGCTCAGGCCAATCTCTAAGGGGTCAGTCGGGTCACTTATTTCTTAAAAGGGTCCTTACGGCATCCAAGGACCAATTCCGGCTTTTGAGTGCACCACATCAGCATTTGATGCTGCGACAGATGGTGAAATATGAATATATGTTACAGGCCGTATGAAAATTGTCCGTTTGCAAACGGCCTGGCCCAGTCAGGGCATATGAAACAGCCTGAAAACACCGGCCGTTTGCAAACCATGACCTGAAATATCAGACCGTTTGAAAACGGCCTAGTTAGTTTCGGCCTAGCGGATCCAGGGGGGCCACGGGGTCATGCCCCCAAGCCTGAAAGGGGGCAACATGTATTTTGGCCCCCAAAAACACTTAAGAAATATGAATGTGAGAAAGTAGCGTAGTAGGTAGAAACTACCGTATCATTAAAAATATGTGAGCTTGAGTGTTGGTCTCGTCTTCACCCAAGAAGTTCTTATTGCATACTTTACCTCTCGATCGACGCGTGAAGTTATCGTGTAAGTTATCATGAATACGATCGCGACGAAACTTTAGCACCCTCATGTTGACAAAGTCTGAAAATTTCATGACCCTGACCCAAGTGACCTTTGACCTGTGGCCTATTTCTCGAGACTATCCGTGCGTTCGGAGAGCATGGAATATTCACCGTCCCCTGGAATATTCCCCGTGCCGCGTTCGGAGGCGTATCTCTCTGAACGGCCAATTTCCGGGAATGTTCCGCGCGCATGGAGTATTCCACGGATTCCACGTGGAATGTGCCTCTCCGAACGCACCATATGTTTGGCCATGTTTGAGGCCATGTTTGGCCGGAATCGCGATTCCGCGTATGTCGGCTCACATTATCCGCTCGTTTGCGGTCTTTTCGTGGTTTAAAACGCTCAAACATGTGAAATGATGTTGGTCCCAACCATTGTGGTAGGTGCCAATGTCACCTTAGGGTCAAGTCAGGTCATTGACCTTTGATGACCTCGGTGCACTTTTCCGAGTTTAACATGTTTCTAGGATAGTTTCGTTTAGCTGATTTTGAATTTAGCATTTAGCAACCATTTGAACATTTACGAAGTAGTTTTGATGCCTTCGTATCATGTTACGTAGCTGCCAGTGGTAGTCGGACACCTGCTACACGGACGCCCATAAGTACTGGTTGACCTGGTTGACCTGACCTGGCCTGCCCCGACATGGCCTAAAGGCATGAAGACATCATCTATGATCCAAACTAACATGAAATTCGTGATCAGCACAAAAATCTATTACAGCCTTACTTTAGGAGGTTCTGACAGGCCCTGATTTTCCCGTCTTTTGGGTCTGTGATCTGACCTGGGCGGTGTTTCACGGCACGCTGCCAGCGCTGTTGGCACTTTTGGTTTCCATGAAGACATCAACTAGCCTATACCTACAACACTACCGAAGGTTGACCTTAGCTCGCGGAATGCGCTGGCAGCGGCTGGCAGCGCGACCGCCGTGAAACACCGCCCTGGAAGGTCAACCAATGACCAAGGACCTTAAAATCGGGTATCATCGGCTTCCTCTCGTCACTGACAAGTGACAGGCAACACACTCGTTTTTTCCGCGAGCTCTAGCTTGATCAGGGGCCGAACGGCAGAGAGGTTCAACCGACACCTCCCAGCCCGCGAAGGCTGCGCCAAGCACCGACCCGGAGCGGCGGTCGACAAAAGCAATTTGAAGTGTTTTCAAAGTAATATTAAGGCACGGGTTGAGTGGGCTACCATTTCTCTCTCTATTTTTTTTTTAGTTTAAAAAAATTATCGTTTCAGGGCTGTGACGAAAAATAAGTGGCCTAAATCCGATGAGAAAACAGGATTTGGGGGTACCCTAGGTTTGGCTCCTTGCACGAGTTGGCCCCCCCCCAAAACGCAAGTCTGGATCCGCCAGTGAGCCCACTACAGTTGTTATACATATCTAAAAACCGAAAAACTTTTAGGCGAAAAAGGCACTATTCCAGGCCCATTTTTGATTTTTTTGCGATATTAGGTAAAAACAGAAGCTTCTTATCCTAGGAAAAATAAAATGGGAAATCTTTCAAAGGTGGCACACTACCTTTAATACTAGGTCAT